AAGTTACTGGAATCTGTGAGAAAAGGCCCCTGACCACAATACTAGGGCTACTTCTTTTCAAAGAGTGATGTAGGTTGCAACATTTGCTCAGTAAGTTTCCTTAACTATGAATAACTTAGTCTAGTAATTTGAAGGTGAAGAGGATAAGTAGGTTCAGGAAACAAGGTCATAGGTGATTTGATTAAAATGTAGCCTCTCCTTAAAAGATCATTACAGTATCTAGTAAGTAGGTAATGACAATAGCTAAACTTGTCTGCTGGAGAGTGTTGTGCTAGTAATAATTAAAGAAATCCTCTCAGCCTATTTACCAGGGAATGTAGAGATGGTAAAAAAGGTAAATTTTTGTTTATCAGAACTTGGGAGTCTAAGATTTGAATTATTTTTTTATCCATTGATATCATCATCAACTTTGCCTTCAATGTGCAAATTTTCTTGCTGTAGGTGAGTATTATTGCTCATACAAGAACAATTTACTCCTCTTTGTCTGTGACAAGCAAGAGTGGTCCTCTTAAGTGTTAAGTTGCCTAACAGGCAATCTCTATTATCTTGTCAGTTAAGTGATTGCCTAAATGAATGAGTTGCCAGTAATCGGATCCTTGCATTTGCACAAAGATTTCTAGGATTGCCACAGAGCAAACATTGCAGCCCACTAGAAAGAAATGTATGGCAAAGGGCACTCTCTCCTTTTCTGATGGCAGATCCATTTTTAACACTGACACTCTTAAACCCTAAGACCTTAACATAGGTATGCATATTCTCTATACTGTTCTCTATAGCTTTCTTTTGGGACTGACAAGGAGAATTTGTTTAACTTCTTAGGTTGGTGATCATTTTCTTTATTCTCATAATCTTAATGAAAGATTCAGCAGGAGTGTTGTTGTGAGGAGAAATAAGATGCTGATCACTCTTTAAAGTTTAAAGGATTGAATGTAAATAAGTGAAGTATTTAATAGTTTTTTTAACCCAGGTGCTATGATTATTGTCACTGTACCAAATTAATATAAAGGTCAATAACAAAAAAAAAATTAATTTTTTGCAGTCGGCAAGAATCACTTCTTACCATGGTCTGTTGGAAGATGTGAATATCCAGTGTGACGACAAGGAAATGTGTCTACTCTTCACAAAGCTTGTCCAGGGGCTTATAGGTGAGGAACAAAACTATCCACAAATTATGACATCATGAACAGTTTTTTAAACAAGGGAGATTGAAAATGGATTTAAACTCTGCTTGAATGCTTGCAGGGTCATTTAGAATGTTTTGTGGTCATTTTATTTCAATCTTTATTTTCTCATGCCCTTCAAAGTGATAATTTTTAATGATACATTTTATTTTCTTGTGTATAAATGTTTTGGGCCCCTCTCAGAGTTAGTTGACCCTTGCATAGCAGCTTGGGCCAAAATGACTCTGAGCCAGACCCAAAGCATGTTTATACCCACAAACCTAATTAACAGAATTTTTTTTTATTATGAGATCTGTGCATTTCAAACCTTTTGTACAATATATCAAGTTCTTCTTTATAAGGACATTTCTTTGGTTAAATTTTTCTTAACTTACAAAATTTTATTACAGCTGTTCTTTATTTCAATTTCTCTCCAGGGATAAAATTTAAAGGTGATGACATTCATACAGCCTTGCTGACATTTTTTAACTCAGAATCACTCACAGCTCTAGATAGGCAACTTTGTTGTCAGTTTATACAGTGGATTGTCAGTGTAATATGAATCAAAAATAAAATCAAGTAAGTCTTTTTAATCATAGTGTACAACATGGTAACTTCAGTTTCCTGAGTAACAATGCAGTGTTTATCAAACCTTAGCCTGTTTGCTATTTTTGTTTTGTTTTGTTTTGAATTGGGGGGGTGGGGGAGGGGAGGGAGGGACTGTACCACTGTATATATCCAATTAAGTGCCCTGGGGCCCATTTCTCAAAAGTCACAGTCGGACCCGTAAAACTGTTCTGTTTTCATTCAAGATGGGGATTTCAAAAGTTTTGAAAATGATACATTCAAACGATCAGCTAAAGAAACAAAAAGGACTGGTTTGGGTGCCAGAACCTGCTCTCATATCCTTTAGATTTTGATTGTAAAACATGGCTTCAGGCCCGTTGAGTTACGGGGACTTTTGAGACACAGGAGCAAATTAAATTTTCAGCACTTTTAGCAAGCATGAACACTTTGCAGAGCTATTAAATTGCCACAAAGTTTGAGTGGGAGAGTTTGTGGTTGAAGGAACTTTGCACACACATGGACATCGCAGTTTAAACTTTGAGGACAATTCCAACATTCTCATAGAATGTCAGTCAGTAAATTTAGAGATAGTAAGCCAGCAAACAAATAATAATCATTTTTTCCACTAGTGCACTTAATTTACTTTTAAAGGAAGGGGGAGGCATTGTAATTTTTTGTAACATTGTAATTTTATTTTCTTGGTTTGTACAACTGACTTCAACAAAGGATTCATTTTGTTAGTTTTATATAAATGTATTTTTTTTTGTCTAGCTACAGTTCATCAGCTCTATTTACTCTTCTTAATAAAAGAAACATTTAAAATTAACCATTTAGTGCTTAAAAATATCTTAAGCAAAATGGCATTCAAAATGGTGCATTCACTTCATTTCTGCCAAATTCCTCTCCTCTGTGCATTTGATAAACATGCTGCCCATCAATAAAATTAAAATGCTTTCAACTTGTGAACAACCTCACTTAAAGCATTACCTAAATTCTGCAAAATCTGAGGTACTTTACTCAGTGAAAAAAAAATTTACAACTGAAGATAATTAAGTCTAAAATACAGTTGGTTTTGTAGGCCAAAGAAAGTTCAAAGTTTATATACATTCAAATTATAGAAGGGATACCATTATTAATGATCAGCATTATTTTGCTTTGCAAAATTATTTCTACTGCCATCTTGGTCTGTCTGTGAAAGATCTTGAATTCCCTCTTTTAGGCCTGAAGGGTAAAATCAAAGGACATTCACGACCATGTTAAAGCTGGAAACATGCAACTACAATTCATACAATTCAGTTTGAGTACTTGTCTGGATTGTTTAAACTGTATCACAATGTTATAATAATCAAGTTGAGAATTTTTAAAGAATATATCTCTGTCATTGTCATGTTTCATGTTGACTCGTACCATAAGCTTAATAAAATACGTTAAGAGTTTAGCAAGGGTTGGGTACATGTACATATAGTGACTTAAAAAAAAAGGTTCAATTCATTGCAATGGGCCATTACATTAAGAGATCGTGTATCACTTTTAAAGCCAGGGCTCAACACTAACAGTAGCCAACTAGCCACAGATTAATAGAAATCCAGTTTTGGTTAGTGATTTTTTATTTCCATTGGCCAGTTTGGCTAGTAAACAAACTGAAATTGTTGTAACATCTAAGTTGTCACTAGCCACTTGGCTAGTATGTTGAAAAGCCCTGAAAGCTCAATGCATGTATTTTTTCAGGTTTCTGTCACTAAAAAGAGATGCCATATATTATTATTAATTTATACTCCTGGGGCCCATTTCTTGAAAATTTTCAAGTTAACAACTAGCTATGAGATAGGGTCTTATTATTTTGGAAAGAATACCAGGTTTTATTGTGTCACACACCTGTTTCAATGTTCCTACTTACATTTTAATCAAATCTTTGTTTTTGGTAAGTTCTGGTAAATGGCTCTAAAGAAATAGGTGTAAAACAAAATAAAAGACTCATTTTTATAGCTCTGCATTTTTGTATTTTGCGGAAGGTACAGGTTTTAGGAATGGAACTTCTTTGCCAATCAAAATATTCCAATTGGTGACTGAAACAAAGAGAGCTTCAGACCCTGAAGTACTTGAGCTACCTTTACACTACTTACGATGTACGTGGTGCAAAGTTTCTGGCTGCTCCAATAGTGGTGCTGCTCATTGCCCTTCTCAATCCATTGAAATGTTTCTTCACTTTCTTAGAATGTAACTTGTCCAGCTGCAAGGCACTAGATGATCTTGATGGCCCTCTGAGTGCTTGGACATTCTCTTTTGTAGCACTGAAAACTCTGAGGAAAGAGAGAGTTTTTCAATACGGTGGAATCCCAATTTCTCAAACCCTTGGTTTCTCGAACCTCCCGATATCTCAAACCAAACCTTGTTTCCCTTGGATTTGCTTCACTTGTAATTTCACCCCCGATTTCTCAAACTCCTGATTTCTCGAAACAATTTGCATTTCCCCTAGAGGTTCAAGAAATTGGGATTCCACTGTAGTTGCTACTTAACAGTCAATCCTTTTGATCCCAAAGGGTGACTAGTATTTAATTTCTCCTCACAATACTACCACTGAATCCCACAGTAAGGTCATGAGAATAAAGGAAATGATCACACCCAAATTAGCTCTTGATTGTTCAACAAATTCTCCTTGTCAGCACTTTAAGAAATGTATAGAGTACTGTATGGAGAATATACATACTGGTGTAAGGGTGTTAAGGGTTATCCCTTTATAGAAGAGACAGAGGTTACCCTGTCCTCAATATTCTTGCAACCTACTCAGTTGTAAATTAAAGCAAAAACGTATATGAATACATGTTTGACATACTAATGATGAAATGTGATATAAAGAGCTGTTGGAATTTGGTGAACCCAATTTTTCCTCCATTCTAGAATTGAGTATTTGAACTGAAAGCAATTTGCTGTTATGGCGAAATTTATTGTTGGAAGAACCATACTGGCACAAAGCATGGTATTTTTAACTGACCTCTTTGGCAGCATGTTTTTCACTTCCTTGCTGCAGTTTGATTTTTCTGTGGAGGAAATGAAATACCACACTCTTAGCACATGGTATTTAGATCTCAGTGTCTGTGACAGACTAAACAGCAGCTCTAGAATACAGCTCTGATAAACCTTTACCTTGTTTCAAAAGATTACTTTGACTCAGCACAGATGGCAACTGATCTTTCAGATTGTTTGCTGTATTTACAGACAGTTCTTTCAGTGGTGTTGTGGCACAATTTCTCAGTGGTGGTGTAATCTGTAATAAAACAGCAATGACATAATTATGGAAATATATGAACTAAAGAGAAAACTCTCCTCCAAAGCAAGAAAATAAGAGAGTAAATTATGGCCAGGAAAAGAAAGTAAATACATTTTGAAGGAAAATATTGTTGGTGCCTTTGAGTAGGCTAAGCATGCAAACGAGGTACAGAGCCAAACTCTAAAATGCATTTCTTGCTTTGATAAATCATTTTCATAAAATATATTTAAAAGCAGAAACAAATAAAATGGATGAAAATGTGTCAATCACATCTGGAGAGGTCTACAACATGACAAACTGCAGCATGTAAGGGATATTCAAAATCTGTAATTTGCATGTTATTGAAAAAGTGTAGAATATGTTCTGCTCATTACCTGCCTTGCATCCTTTTGTGGATTTTTATCTGCTGGAGTTACATCCAGAGCTTGTATTCCAGACAAATTTAAGTCAGTAGAGACTCTTACAGGTGAGATATTACCAAGATTGTTCTGTGCAGTATTATATGTTGGTGAGGGGGACTTTGTTTCAACAGGACTTTCAGTCCAACCGACTTTGGGATGGGGAGTTGCTCTTCTTGACGCAGATGTTGATTGCTTATTTGCACCATTCTTGTTGTGAAACATTGCTGGTGACATTAAAAAGTTGTTACTGTTTAAAGGTAGAAATGGCACAGCTGATGGAACTCTCAAAGGTGTTGCCAATTTTTGGTCCTTTGGAATGCTGCCAGTTACACCTGGTGTTGCTGTCTTCTGTCTTTCACACTCTCCTTCCAGTGAGTGTATTACATTTCTCAGTGACTGTGTGATCTCATATTCTCTAGTCAAAGAAATGCAGGTATTTGTCCCTGTGTCTGAATTCTCCAATGTTGGCTGAGAAGTGGTTCTGATTATCTTTTCATGTTTATAAGTGCTTCTGCAAGGTGTCATGTCAACAATGTTACTGACTGGTGTGTTGAACTGACGTTTTCTGATAGGTGTTCTGGACAGTGGTGTTCCTTTCATGAAAGAAATATTTAGTTTCAGAAAGATGTCATATGCTTTTGTGTGGTTTGAACCAGGCAGTTCACATATCTTCAAAACACGGCTATGATAAAAGCCCCTGACTTTGGAGACTCAAAGTCTGAGAAACCCTGGGCATTTGAACTTTTGAAGACTGGTTTGTTGAAATTCCTGTCCCTCAAAGAAAAAATGATTTTCAATGCTCCGCCTAAGTGCTGGTCATATTTTTTGTAATAGGCAAATCAGCAACCATGACTTTTGTATACATTGAACAAGCTTTAAACCCTACACCTTGCGGACCTTTTCTTCTAAGCCATTTTCTCACAAAATTGAACAGTTCTCCTTTAAATAGTGGCAACATGATCTCACAAGCCTTTGGCTTTAAATATCTATCATGTTTAAATAAAGTTTTACATTTTACAGTTTACATAATTATTTAAAGATACAACAGTTGTGTTCTGCAGGAAAGACTTGACACTTCCAGTTCAAATTCCCCACCCAGCTAGGCAAGGTTCAAGGTTCAAATTCCCCACCCTCACCCACAGACAATGGTCAAGTGCCTGTGGGTTGTACGGGGGATGTTGAAGCTTCCAATTTATCATTCGGGGCTCAACACTAACTGGGTAGCCAACTAACCAAGGACTAGTAGAATTTCAGTTTTGGTTAGTAGTTTTAGATTTCCACTGGCCAGTTTGGCTAGTGAACAAACTGAGATTGTAGTAACATCTAAGATGTCACAAGCCACTTAGCTAGTAAGTTGAAAAGTTAGTGTCAATTAAGCCCCATCATTGCATAAACCTTTGCAGTAAAATTTTCTTAGGCCCTTGATGATAGTAGGAAAATATTACTCAAGGCAGACCAGGGTGAACCACATTAAGCTGTTGAAAACTTTTATGCCAGGTTTCTATAAACAAGAGAGTAATGATTGAAATAAGTATCCCATGCCAATCCATAATATTTCTTGTTACTGAATATACAACTAGCACCACAATGTACTGGGTAATTTTTATCATTTCCCAAACTACTTTATGTCGCTTTGTGTGCCTACTTACCAGTGGTTGGCAGCTGAAAGCTTATATTAAATGATGTTTTATCAAAGCTGTTACCATCATTCAATGTGCTTTGATCAGCCCATGTCACCTCACGGCCCTTTTCAACTGTTTCAATAATATTGTTGTATTCATCTGTCAGCTCTTGGGTTGTGAGGCCAACACCTTTTAGAATGAGAAACTGCTTCTGTACCATTCCTAGCAACTTTTCAACCAGTCTGAAAACCAATTTAAAAGGTATACGTTATGTAAGATCACTGTGCAGTAAATCATCACTTTGTGATTAGAGACTGATGACTGATGACAGGTCTAACTGCTGGAAAATTCAAGGCATTTTTTTTGTGATTTGATGATTGCTCCAACTGATTACTGATCAAAACTCAAAGTTTTACTTAAGCAGAATAATGTACACATTAAAATATAATTCTCTTACCAGGATTTCAAGATTTGGAGGGAAAGACGTGTGTTTACCCTTAAAATTATTCAGTAATGTTAAAGGATCTGTCAGTAGTGGTAGCAGAACAACAACAACTCCAGAAGCTCATGATCACTGAATTGTGAAATTAATGTATAATCATCTTAGTTCCTGAAGTTTGCTTTTGTTAGACTGTTGTGTTTTGTGGTTTTACACTCAACTTTTGATGTTATTTGGCAAGAAACAGGACATACTGTGGATGTGGTAACCATTGTTAAAACACAATATGGTCTTTCTAGTTATCTCCCTAAATTTCTATCACTCGCAGGTTGCAGTTAAACTATCCAATGCTAAGGCTTAATGCTTTGGTTGTAAGCCAAAAAATAGTCAAAGCAACCATCACTAAAAAAACCTTGTTGTAGGAATGTAGGACATGTGAGAAAACCACAAATCAACAACTGACTGTTGCAGTTTCTGTTACTGCCTAAAAATTAGTTTTCTTTCATCTGATTGGTTTTTTCGCTCAAAACAACTTTCCAGAAACATCTCTGTGGATCACAGTTTTTAAAGTTAGATTCATATCAATTTGTTAACATTTATGTTGTAAGTGCTAGTCAGATCTGGTGTTAGTATAATTACCTCTCTGTACTCTGAGCATCTTTTTCCAAAGCATGAATGTGTTTCTTATAAAGCTGACAGCTTCTTTTCAGCTCCATATTATCCAGCTGTGACTGAGCTACTGACTGGCATTGTTCAAGTTGAGTTTTTGCACCCACGTCAGAGTCAAGATGAGTCATCTCTGATTTTATTCTGTCCAACCACTTGGTGTTTTTTGCTATTTGTTCTTCAAAGTCAGACTTTTTGAAGATGAGATATTTTTGCTTGGACTTAGTTGCAGACTGACATGTTTCAGCTTTAGACAATGCCTGTCAAATAGGAACAGAAGAGCAGATATATTTGTTTGCCCATGATCATTTAGTACAGGTTTAATCTATTTTCGTTGCTTATTGAAGATGAGGTCAAACCCCTTTGTTCGACCTTCATCAATTATTGCTACCTTGTAAATTTTACGATAGAATCAAGATGATAAACAATTCCAATCTGTAGATTTTATAGCAAGTTTTAAAAGGAAAGACCACAAACAAGAAATTGAAATGATTGTGTATTACTGTTTGAATATGATAAGATTCCTCAATCATATGGAACACAATGGGAATTTCAAATTTACTGCCTTCCATAAAAATAACATTTAAAAAACAAGTAATCCATACAACTCAATCATTGCCTGTAATTTTGTGGTTTTGCAGGATTTTCAAAAGCCTGAAAATTTCCTAGTTGTAACATGCATGTGCTAGTAAGTTGAATTAGAAACAACTGAAATGACTTATATTAACAGGCTTGGCAATTGTGGAATATTTGGATTGCATTAGTTGGTCAAAAGCAAATTGAAACTATTCATCCAACGATAAAAGTAAGATAAATCAAATTTGAAGATGATTTATTAACATTGCTGACAAAATCAAAGTATTACTGACAGAGAGAACTGTTAATTGTAGTAAGTACTGTTAAGATGACTAAGTAAAGCTTATGATACCTCATTAAGTTTCTGCCCTTCAACACACACAAACTGCAATCTTTTTAAGGAACGTTCCTAGAATAAAGCAAACATGTAAAACATGAGTAGGAAGTCAGATTAGCTGACAGAAGAAATCTGAGAAAAATTGTGACGAGCAACCAAACAGTGCAATTGAAATGTCAATTTTCTTAGCATTGATTGGAGGATTTCAATCTACTTTTATTAGACTTTTATTTATGATTATAGTGATGGAGAGTAGCACAAAACAAAATCTTAAGTTTGACTGTAACCTGCCATATTCAAAAGGCATAGCAACACTGGACAAGCATAAAAGTTGTTGCACCCTACTTTGATGACAAAATTTCCAGAAAGTACTGTAGAATGCAATTAAAAAATTAATAAATTAAAGTAAATTGTATTTTTGTTGGCTAAATTTTAATTCTACTTAACTTTGACAGTTCTGTTTTTAACTTGTGATAACACAGCCTTGATTGGATTAATTTGGCTGATAAGGGTAATAATTGAATACAAATAAATAAACTTCATAATTGATAGAAAAATTGTGAACCTTTCTATAGAGTTTCATTTGAAGATCCCTCTCAGCTGCCTCGACATCTATTATGTTTCTCCTCACGGCCATTCTTTCTTTCATGACACTCTTTAAGCTTGAGCATAACCTGCCAAGTAATTTTAAGAAAAATTGTACTTTCTTACTATAATTGTGAATGGCTAGTTATTAATTGCCAATAAATAATGTAAAGTACAAATTTTAGTTACGGTTTTTTTTTTTTTTTTTTAAAGAAATATCATTTCATTAAAGGGGATATAAGTTTCTAAATAAACTGTGGTGCTGTGTCGTGGGAGCAACAACTTGAAGGTAATTATGGTTTTATTAACCAAGTTGATTAGACTAGACTAAGTGTAAATTGGCCACA